GGATTTTTGCATCTATGTTCATCAGTGATATTGGCCTGTAGTTTTCTTTCTTTGTGACATCCTTGTCTGGTTTTGGTATCAAGGTGATGTTGGCCTCATAGAAGGAGTTTGGGAGTGTTCCTCCCTCTGCTATATTTTGGAAGAGTTTGAGAAGGATAGGTGTTAGCTCTTCTCTAAATGTTTGATAGAATTCGCCTGTGAAGCCATCTGGTCCTGGGCTTTTCTTTGTTGGAAGATTTTTAATCACAGTTTCAATTTCAGTGCTTGTGATTGGTCTGTTCATATTTTCTATTTCTTCCTGATTCAGTCTTGGCAGGTTGTGCATTTCTAAGAATCTGTCCATTTCTTCCAGATTGTCCATTTTATTGGCATAGAGTTGCTTCTAGTAATCACTCATGATCTCTTTTATTTCTGCAGTGTCAGTTGTTACCTCTCCTTTTTCATTTCTAATTCTGTTGATTTGAGTCTTCTCCCTTTTTTTCTTTTTCTTTTTCTTTTTTTTTTTTTTTGCGGTACGCGGGCCTCTCACTGCTGTGGCCTCTCCCGCCGCGGAGCACAGGCTCCAGACGCGCAGGCTCAGCAGCAATGGCTCACGGGCCCAGCCACTCCGCGGCATGTGGGACCTTCCCGGACCGGGGCACGAACCCGCGTCCCCTGCATCTGCAGGCGGACCTTCAACCACTGCGCCACCAGGGAAGCCCTCCCTTTTTTTCTTGATGAGTCTGGCTAGTGGTTTATCTATTTTGTTTATCTTCTCAAAGAACCAGCTTTTAGTTTTATTGATCTTTGCTATTGTTTCCTTCATTTCTTTTTCATTTATTTCTGATCTGATCTTTATGATTTCTTTCCTTCTGCTAGCTTTGGGGTTTTTTTGTTCTTCTTTCCCTAATTGCTTGAGGTGCAAGGTTAGGTTGTTTATTTGAGATGTTTCCTGCTTCTTAAGGTGGGCTTGTATTGCTATAAACTTCCCCCTTAGAACTGCTTTTGCTGCATCCCACAGGTTTTGGGTGGTTGTGTCTCCATTGTCATTTGTTTCTAGGTATTTTTTGATTTCCTCTTTGATTTCTTCAGTGATCACTTCATTATTAAGTAGTGTATTGTTTAGCCTCCATGTGTTTGTATTTTTTACAGATCTCTTCCTGTAATTGATATCTAGTGTCATGGTGTTGTGGTCAGAAAAGATACTTGATACAATTTCAATTTTCTTAAATTTACCAAGGCTTGATTTGTGACCTAAGATATGATCTATCCTGGAGAATGTTCCATGAGCACTTAGGAAAAATGTGTATTCTGTTGTTTTTGGATGGAGTGTCCGATAAATATCAATTAAGTCCATCTTGTTTAATGTATCATTTAAAGCTTGTGTTTCCTTATTTATTTTCATTTTGGATGACCTGTCCATGGGTGAAAGTGGGGTGTTTAAGTCCCCTACTATGAATGTGTTACTGTCGATTTCCCCTTTTATGGCTGTTAGTATTTGCCTTATGTATTGAGGTGCTCCTATGTTGGGTGCATAAATATTTACAATTGTTATATCTTCTTCTTGGATCGATCCCTTGATCATTATGTAGTGTCCTTCTTTGTCTCTTTTAATAGTCCTTATTTTAAAGTCTATTTTGTCTGATATGAGAATTGCTACTGCAGCTTTCTTTTGGTTTCCATTTGCATGGAATATCTTTTTCCATCCCCTTACTTTCAGTCTGTATGTGTCTCTAGGTCTGAAGTGGGTCTCTTGTAGACAGCATATATAAGGGTCTTGTTTTTGTATCCATTCAGCTAATCTGTGTCTTTTGGTGGGAGCATTTAGTCCATTTACATTTAAGGTAATTATCGATATGTATGTTCCTATTCCCATTTTCTAAATTGTTATGGGTTCGTTATTATAGGTCTTTTTGTTCTCTTTTGTTTCTTGCCTAGAGAAGATCCTTTAGCATTTGTTGCAAAGTTGGTTTGGTGGTGCTGAACTCTCTCAGCTTTTGCTTGTCTGTAAAGGTTTTAATTTCTCCATCAAATCTGAATGAGATCCTTGCTGGGTAGAGTAGTCTTGGCTGCAGGTTTTTCTCCTTCATCACTTTCAGTATGTCCTGCCATTCCCTTCTGGCTTGTAGGGTTTCTGCTGAGAGATCAGCTGTTAACCTTATGGGGATTCCCTTATGTGTTATTTGTTGTTATTCCCTTGCTGCTTTTAATATGCTTTCTTTGTATTCAGTTTTTGACAGTTTGATTAATATGTGTCTTGGTGTATTTCTCCTTGTATTTATCCTGTATGGGACTCTCTGTGCTTCCTGGACTTGATTAACTATTTCCTTTCCCATATTAGGGACGTTTTCAACTATAATCTCTTGAAATATTTTCTCAGTCCCTTTCTTTTTCTCTTCTTCTTCTGGAACCCCTATAATTCGAATGTTGGTGCGTTTAATGTTGTCCCAGAGGTCTCTGAGGCTGTCCTCAGTTCTTTTCATTCATTTTTCTTTATTCTGCTCTGCAGTAGTTATTTCCACTATTTTATCTTCCAGGTCACTTATCCGTTCTTCTGCCTCAGTTATTCTGCTATTGATCCCATCTAGAGTACTTTTAATTTCATTTATTGTGTTGTTCATCGTTGTTTGTTTCATCTTTAGTTCTTCTAGATCCTTGTTAACTGATTCTTGCATTTTGTCCATTCTATTGTCCATTCTATCTCCAAGATTTCGGATCAACCTTACTATCATTATTCTGAATTCTTTTTCAGGTAGACTGCCTATTTCCTCATTTGTTAGGTCTGGTGCATTTTTATCTTGCTCCTTTATCTTCTGTGTGTTTTTCTGTCTTCTCATTTTGCTTATCTTACTGTGTTTGGGGTCTCCTTTTTGCAGGCTGCAGGTTCGTAGTTCCTCCTGTTTTTGATGTCTGTCTCCAGTGGCTAAGGTTGGTTCAGTGGGTTGTGTAGGCTTCCTGGTGGAGGGGACTAGTGCCTGTGTTGTGGTGGATGAGGCTGGATCTTGTCTCTCTAGTGGGCACGTTCACCTCTGGTGGTGTGTTTTGGGGTGTCTGTGGCCTTATTATGATTTTAGGCAGCCTCTCTGCTAATGGGTGGGGTTGTGTTCCTGTTTTGCTAGTTGTTTGGCATAGGTTTTCCAGCACTGTGGCTTGCTGGTCGTTTAGTGAAGCTGGGTGCTGGTGTTTAGATGGAGGTCTCTGGGAGATTTTCGCCGTTTGATATTATGTGGAGCTGGGAGGTCTGTTGTTGACCAGTGTCCTGAAGTTGGCTCTTCTACCTCAGAGGCAGAGCCCTGCCTCCTGGATGGAGCACCAAGAGCTTTTCATCTACACGGCTCAGGATAAAAGGGAGAAAAAGTAGAGGGAATTAGTGGAAGTATGAGGAAAGAAAGAAGGAGAGGAGGGTAGGAAGGAAGGACGAAAGAAAGAAGCAAAGAAGGCAAGAAGGAAAGAAAGGAGGGAGGGAGGGAGGAAGGAAGGAAGGAGGGAAAGAAGGAAAAAAGACAGAAAGAAAGAAGATACAGTAAAAATAAAATAAAGTATAATAAAGTTATTGAATTAAAAAATTCTTATTTAGAAAAAAAAAAAAAGGGACGGATGGAACCTTAGGACAAATGTTGGAAGCAAAGCTATACAGACAAAATCTTACACAGAAGCATACACATACACCCTCACTAAAAGAGGTAAATGGGGAAAAATCATAAATCTTGCTGTCAGAGACCACCTCGTCAATTTGGGATGATTCGTTGTCTAAAGGAGGGAAGGAAGGATGGAAAGAAAGAAAGGAAGAAAGAACGAAGGTAAAGTATAGTAACGTTATTAAAATTAATTATTAAGAAAAAAAATTAAAAAAAAAACATGGACGGATAGAACCCTAGGACAAATGGTGGAAGCAAGACTATACAGACAAGATCTCACACAGAAGCATACACATACACATTCACAAAAAGAGAAAAGGGAAAAAATCATAGATCTTGCTCCTAAAGTCCACTTCCTTAATTTGGGATGATTGGTTGTCTATTCAGGTATTCCACAGATGCAGGGTATATCAAGTTGATTGTGGAGCTTTAATCTGCTGCTTCTGAGGCTGCTGGGAGAGATTTCCCTTTCTCTTCTTTGTTCTCACAGCTCCCAGGGCTCAGCTTTGGATTTGGCCCTGCCACTGCATGTAGGTCGCTGGAGGGCATCTGTTTATTGCTCAGACAGGATGGGGTTAAAAGAGCCGCTGATTCGGGGGCTCTGGCGCACTCAGGCTGGCGGGGAGGGAGGGGCACGGAGTGCGGGGCGGACCTGCGGTGGCAAAGGCCGGTGTGACTTTGCACCAGCCTGAGGCGCGCTGTGCGTTCTCCCGGGGAAGTTGTCCCTGGATCCCGGGAACCTGGCAGTGGTGGACTGCACAGGCTCCGCGGAAGAGGGGTGTGGAGAGTGACCTGTGCTCGCACACAGGCCCCTTGGTGGTGGCAGCAGCAGCCTTAACGTCTCCTGCCTGCCTCTGGGGTCCGCGCTTTTAGTCGCGGCTTGCGCCCGTCTCTGGATTCCGCGCTTTCAGCCGCGACTCGCGCCCGTCTCTGGATTCCGCGCTTTCAGCCGCGGCTCGCGCCCGTCTCTGGGGTTCGCACTTTTAGCCGTGGCTCACGCCCGTCTCTGGAGTTCCTTTAAGCAGCGTTCTTAAACCCCTCTCCTCACGCCCCAGGAAACAAAGAGGGAAGGAAAAGTCTCCTGCCTCTTCGGCAGGTGCAGACTTTTCCCCGGACTCCCTCCCGGCTAGCTGTGGTGCACTAACCCCTTCAGGCTATGTTCAAGCCGCCAACCCCAGTCCTCTCCCTGCCCTCCGTCCGAAACCGAAACCCGAGCCTCAGAGCCTCAGCTCGCAGCCCCGCCCGCCCCGGCGGGTGAGCAGACAAGCCTCTCGGGCTGGTGAGTGCCGGTCAGCACCGATCCTCTGTGCGGGAATCTCCCCGCTTTGCCCTCCGCACCCGTTGCTGTGCACTCCTCCCTGTTTGTAGGAATTTATCCATTTCTTCTAGGTTATCTAATTTGTTGGCATAAAATTGCTCATAGTAATTTCTTATGATTCTTTATCTTTGTGTTATCAGTGGTAATGTATCCCCTTTCACTTCTGATCATATTGAGTCTTCTCTTTTTTGCCTAGTTAGTCTAGCTAAAGGCTTGCACATCTTTTTTTTTCTAATCTTTAAAAAAACAGCTCTTAGTTTCAGTGATCGTCTCTTGTATTTCTAGTCCCTGTTTCATTTATGTCTGCCCTAATTTTTATTTCCTTCCTTCAGATAACATTAGGCTTAGTATGTTGTTTAGTTCTTTGAGGTTTTTTAGTTGTTATTTTTGTTAGGTTGTTTATTTGAAACCTTTCTTTTTTATTAATGTAGACTTTTATCATTATAAACTTCCCTCTTAGAACTGTTTTTGCTGCACCTCATAAGTTTTAGTATGTTGTGTTTCATTTTCAGTTGTCTCAAAATATCTTGTCAATTGCCATTTGATTTCTTCTTCAACCCTTTTGTTCAGGAGCCTGTTGTTTAACCTCCACATATTTGTGATACTTCTGGTTTTCCTTCTATAATGGATTTTAGTGTCATACCATTGTAGTCAGAAACGATACAGTGATTTCAGTTATATTATGACCTAACAGATGATCTGTCATGGAGAGTATTCCATGTATGCTTGGGAAGAATGTGTATTCTTCTGTTCTGCATATGTCTGTTTGGTCCATCTGGTATTATGTGTGGTTTAAGTCCAATGTTTCCTTATTGATTTTGTTTTTGGATGATTATCTATCCATTGTTGAAAATGGGGTATTGAAGTTCCGAAATACTGATTTGGTGCCTCTTCCTGCCTTCAGGTCAGTTACTGTTTGCTTTATATATTAGGGTGCTCTGATGTTGGAGGAATAAAAATTTATAATTGTATGTCTTCTTTATAAATAAATTTACTCTTTATATAATGACCTTCTTTGTCTCTTGTTACAGTATTTGATTTCAAATTTATATAAGTATAGCTACCACTGCTCTCTTTTGGTTTCCATTTGAATAGAATATGTTTTTCCATCCCTTTACTTTCAGTCTAAGTGTGTCATTAAAGGTGAAATGAGACTCTTGTTATCAGCAGACAGTTGGGTCTTTTTTTTTAATTCATAAAACCACTCTATGTCTTTTAATGGGAGAATTTAATTCATTTGCATATAGAGGAATCACTGACAGGTAAGGACTTACTAATTCTATCATATTAATTGTTTCCTGGCTTTTTTGTCATGCTTTTATTCCTTTCTTCTTTTCTTGCTGTCTTTCTTTGTGAATTGATGATTTTGTTGTGGTATGCTTTGATTCTTATCTCTGTCTTTTGGGTATCTACTAAAGGTTTTTGATTCTTTGTTATCATGAGGCTTTCATACAACATCTTAGAGTTATGATAGACTATTTTAAGATGATAACTTAACTTGGAATACATAACAATACATACATACAATTTTACCATGTCATTTTATGCTTTGAAATCACAATTCACATCTTTTTTATATTGTGAATCCATTAAAAAATTATTGCAGTTATAGTTATTTTTGTCTTAACTTTTATACTAAAGTTATAAGTGTTTTACCCATCACCAATATTAGAGTATTCTGAACTTAACTGTATTTTGGCCCATGAATTTTATACTTTCATGTGTTTTCATGTTCCTAATTCATTAACATGCTTTCATTTCAGATGGAAGAACTCCTTTGAACAACTCCTTTGAACAACTTCTGTATAAACTCCTTCAGCTTTTGTTTGTCTATGAAAACTCTGTCTCTCCAATTCTAAAGGACACGTTTGCTGGATAGAGTATTCTTGGCAGTTTTTTTTTTTCCACACTTTGAATATATCTTCCCAATCCCTTATGGCCTGCAACATTTTTGCTGAAAAATCTGTTAATCTTATGGGGATTCCCATGTATAAACAAGTTGCTTTTCTCTTGTTGCTTTTACGATTCTGTCTTTAACTTCTGATAATTTCATTATAGTGTGTCTCTGTGTAGATCTCTTTAGATTAAGCTTCTTTGGAGGTTTTTGGGCTTCCTCAATCTGCATATCTCTTTCTTTCCCCACATTATGGATGTTTTTAGGCATTATTTCTTTGAATATGCTTTCTGCCCTTTCTTTCCTTCTCTTTCTTGAAGAACTGTAACACATATATTGATCCACCTACTGGTGTCCCATAAGTGATCTTCACTTTTTTCTATTCTTCTTTCTTTTTGCTCTTTTGATTGGATGACTTCCAGTGCCTTGTCTGATTCTTTTTTCCATTTGGTCTAGTCTGCTTGCGAAGCCCTGTATTGAATTTTTCAGTTCATTTATTCTTCAAATCTATGATTTCTGTTTGGTACTTTTTAATATTTGGTCTCTTTGTTGAAACTCACACTTTGTTCAGGCTTTATTCTTCTGACCTCAGTAAGCATCTTTATTACCATTATTTTGAACTTTCTGTTTGGTAATTCACCTATTTCCACTTCGTTAAGGTCAGCTCCTATAGATCTTTTTATTTGTTTGAAACATCCCTGTTTCTTTACTTTCCTTGATGCTCTGTTGGTTTTTGTATAAAGCAGCCACTTTTCCCAGTTTTGACAGATTGGCCTTGTGTAGGATATGAACCTCCTTAATCAGCCTGGGCTGGTTGTTGAAATCATTGTCTTTGTTATTAGTGGCTTCCATAGTTGAGGGTGTTCTAAGACCCATCAGTGTCCTCAAAGATGTGGTTAATGCTCATATGCCTGTTTAGGCTCCTGGACAACTGCTAGTTGCCCGCTGCTTTAACTCCCTGATGCAGGTTAATTGGAAGCCCAATTATCAGGCAGGAGCTGGAAAAGTCAGAATATGACATATGTAGTCTAGCCCCTATCAAGAACAATCCAGGAGCTGGATGTTTCTGCTTCCTCACTCTGTGCTGAGCCAAGGGAAATAGTTGCTCTGAATGCTTCTGTGTCCAAGTAGAACAGCCTTTGTTTTTAGTGGTCCCAGGGACTCATGAATGCTGAGCCCTTTCAGCTCCCAGAGTTAGGTGATTTGGGGAATTAGTCCCTTAGGTGGCAGCTGAAAACTAGGGTTCTATATGTGTGGACAAGCTCCTTCCAGGAGAGAAGATAAAAAACTGGTCTTACTTGGAGCTGGGGGAGATAGCAGGGGACATGCCCACCAGCTTTACCAGGCTCACAAAAGGATCCCAGTGAGCTTCCACATGCAGACTAACTGGAAGCCAGAACCACAGGCAGCAGCTAGGAAAATATACAGCTTCCTTCCAGGCAGAAACTGGGAAATGGGCATTTTTTTGTCCTCTCCCTCCATGCTGGCTCTGGGTGTATAGATATGGGTAGTCCTCATCCATTTAAAAACTCTTTCTTTGTTTGCTGTAGTACTGTGGGACTCATGAATACAAGCCCAATTGACTTTCAGTGGTAGGTTATTTTGGGGTCCATCCCTCAGGTGGCAGTTTTTAAAGTCAGCGTTCTAAATGTGTAGACAAGCTCCCTCCAGGGCCATGCAGGAGACTTGGCTTTATTGTTGAAGGAAGCTGGGGGAGAGGGCAGAGTAAGTACCCACTGGCTCTTTTGGGCTCTGGGCAGGATTCCAGTCAGCTGAAATGCAAGCTGATTAGAAGCTGGACCCTCAGACAGTAGCTGGGAAAGTATGTAGTCCAACACCCTCCAGGAAGAAATTGGGAGATAAGCGTTTGTGTGTGTTCCCTCTGCTCTGAGCTTGGGGAGATAGCCAGAGGGAGTGCTCAACCACCTTGTAAAAACTGCTTATTTTTTTGCTATAATACTATGGGACTTGTGAAGGGAAGCCCTTTTGGCTCTCAGAGCTAGATTAAATTGGGGGGCTGTCCCTCAGGTGGCAGCCTTAAAGGTTGGGGCATTAGAAATACGGTCCAAACACTGCACTAATTGGGAGGGGCTGGAGTTGGTGGTTTCAAAAAGATTATAAGGCAGTGTTCTTGGGTGGGGTTTATAGTAAGAGTGTGTCTCATCCTTTCCTATACATTTCTGAGTGGGTATTTTCTGTTTCCCAATGTGTAGGAGTCACTAAAGTAGTTTCTTGATATCTTTCAGAGGGAATTGATCTGTGTGTAGGTGTATATTCAGTGCATCCATGGAAGGAGGGAAATTCAGGAGTCTCTTGTGTGACCATCTTGAGGTACCTGTTGATCTTTTCTAATAACCGACTCTTGGTTTCATCAACTTTCCATTTGTTTTTCTGTTTTGTTTATATATGGTGTAATATTTATTTTCCCATCTGCTGGCCTTGGGTTAAGGTTTTTCTACTTCTTTAAGGCAAAAAGTTAGATTGTTGATATGAGATCTTTATTCTTTTTTAATGTAAGCCTTTACAGCTATAAATTTCCCTCTCATCACTTCCTGTGCTGCATCCCGTATTTCTTTTCATTGATCTCAAGGTATTTTGTAGTTTCTCTTGTAATTTCTTCCTCGACCCATTGGTTGTTTAAAAGTGTGCTGTTTAATTTCCACATATTTGTGAATTTTCGTTTCCCTTCTGTTACTGAGTTCTAGTTTTATTCCATTGTGATAGCAAAAGACTCATTGTATGATTTCAGTAGTTTTTTTGTTTTTTTGCGGTACACGGGCCTCTCACTGTTATGGCCTCTCCCATTGTGGAGCACAGGCTCTGGACGCGCAGGCTCAGCAGCCATGGCTCACGGGCCCAACCACTCTGCGGCGTGTAGGATCTTCCCGCACTGGGGCACGAACCCGTGTCCCTTGCATCGGCAGGCGGACTCTCAACCACTCCGTCACCAGGGAAGACCATCCTTGTTGATTTTTGTTCCAGTAGTTCTGTAGTTGATAGAATACCAACAATTGTCAATAGTAATGAATTTTCTCAATTTCTCTTTCTGCTCTATCAGTTTTTGCTTCATGCATTCTCTCATTTGGTTCATATACATGTAGGAACGTTACATCTTCCTGGTGGATTGATTCATGATTATTAAGTAATGTCCCTCTGTCTCTAATAAATTTCTTTGCTCTGAAATCTACTTTAGTATCCTACTGATTTTTAAAATTGACTGCATGATATGCCTTTTTCCGCCCTTTTGCTTTCAATCTACCTATGTCATTGACTTTGATAAACAGCATACATTATGATTTTTAATCCACCCTCACAATCTCTGTTTAGAATGGTGTAATGAGAACTGTTACTTGCTGATATGTCTGGGCTTATGTTTAGCCCTTTTATTATTTATTTTACATTTGTTTCCTCTGGTTCTCATTTTTCTGTTACTTGTTTTTCTGTGGGTTATTTGATTATTATTTAAGATTCCATTTGGATTCATTCTTAATGTTTTTTAGTGCATCTCTTTGTAGTTTTCTTACTGGTTGCTCTGAGTATTAGACAGTATACATACATGCCTTTTCATGGTATATTACCACTTGTAGTTAAGTGTGAAAACATTACTTTCATTTAGGTCCCTTTATCTTTTCCATTTTTAAATATCATTTTCTAGAGTATGAGTATTATAATTTTTGCTTCAGTCATCACATGTGATTTTAAAATCTTGTGGGTAGAAGGAAGATCTATTATATATACTCACATTTGTGTTTTCATTTTTTCTTCCTAATACTCCAATATTTCTTTTTATCATTTACTTCCATTTGAAGAACTTCCTTTAGACATTGTTTAAGGGTAGGTCTGCTAGCAACAAATTCTTTTAGTTTTCCTTCATCTAAAAACATGTTCATTGCACTTCATTACTAAAGAACAGTTTTGCCAGATGCACATTCATCAGCTGACAGTCTTTTCTTTCAGCACTTGCAGAAAAAGATTGTGCCATCTCCTTGTAAGCTCCAACGTTTCATATGGTATGTGCTGTCATCTGAATTGGTGTGTTCCCCTCTCCCCTATGGGTAATGAGTCATTTCTTTCTGGATGCTTTCAATACTTTTTTTGGCTTTAGTCTTCATAATTTTAAATATGATGTCTTAGTGTGGATATATTAGGATTTACTTAATAGTCACTTGGCTTCTTGAATCTGCACACTTAGGTCTTTTGCCAAATATGGGAAATTTTCAGCCATTATTTATTTAAATAGTTTTTCAGTCCCATTCTCTCTTTCTGAGACTCTGATAACATAAATGCTAGCTTTTTTATTCTTGTCCCAGAGATTCTTTCTTTATCCCAGTCTATTTACTCTCTGTTTTTCAGATTTGCTAAGTTCTATTGACCTGTCCTCAAATTCTCTGATTCCATTTTCTGTCATATCAACCATACCATCGACCCACTCCAATGAGTTTTATATTTTCTAATTTTTAGTTGTATCATTTCCACCGCACTTTTTGTATACCTTCTTTTGGTTGAAATTTTGTACCTTTTCCTTTGTTTCTAGAGAACTTACAATTGCTTGAAGCATTTTTATGATAGCTGCTTTACTGTCCCATCTCAGTATTGGTGTCAGGTGATTATCTTTTCTAATTTGTGATTCCTGGTTCTAGGCATGATGGGTAATTTTCTATTGTATCCTGAACATTTAGCTATGATGTTAAGGGACTCTGAATCTTATTTAAATGTTTCATTTTAGCAGAAAGTCACTCTGTCTTTAGGTTTGACCCCCAGGTCCTGGCCTCGCACTATGGGCTGTGTTTGTTCCAATGACAGTTTTCAAAACTCTTGTGATGCTATGACTGTGTTTGGTTTATTTGGTAACAGTGTTGCTCCCACTTTTCCCTGCTGGTATTTTTGGAGAGTGTGGATGGAGCTTCCCAAAACAGGCTTCTTTGTGTCTCTAGGTAGGGGATGCTGTGGCCCAAAATAGGAAAAGTTTCACTGGCTGAGCCACCGATGTATCAGGGTCACCCTTCCCAGTGTCTCCTGGCCACCTGGTATCTGTCAGTAGGGGAGGAGAATCTCTTCCTCTGCTGGGCAATTTAAGGTGGGGGAGAGGGGACATGTCCTTGCTGGTGCTGCCTAGCTGCCAGGTGTCTTGCATTTAGATGGGGAGTCTCAGGTATGTGGGGATAAAGAACACTTTGTGGGACAGGGGGACAGGTTATTTCTTTGGCAGAATTGCCCTGGCTGCTACCAGCCAACTACCTAGTGTCTCTAGGTGAGGGGAGGGGAGTGTCAGTCCTGTGAGAAAAGAGAGCACCTCTCTTCTCCATTTACTGTTATCAGTGGTCCTAATTGATACCACCTGCAGGTGCTGCTGGGCTCACCTGGTCTTGTCAGCAGGACTTCCATTCCACCCAGGGAGAAATGAGCCTATTTGGGCTGTCTTTTGCTAGTTTTGGATCCAGGAAATACTGGGCCACTTTCTTCTATAGGGTGGGGGAGTGTAAGAAGCACTGTCACTATGTTGTTATTCTAGTCACAAGGTCCATTCTCCAGGAAGTAGAGCTTATTTCCACCCCCCCCCCCAGGAGTATGAGCTGCACTTAGTAATTACTTTTAACGAACAGGGTATGCAAAGAGAAAAATGGTTGATTTTGTAGTGGAGAAACCTGTCCTACACTACCTTTATCAAGTGATCAAGGTTAACATCACCAGGATTAATCATGTTGGCATCATGTACCCCTTTATATGGTACACTTCACTTCTGTGGTATTCTTGCAAAAAGTCCATGATGCAAGTCTAAGGAGAAAACTTCAGAAAATCCCAAACTGAGGGGCATTCAATACAATAGCTGACTAGCTCTTTTCAAGTATCAAGGTCATGAAAGATGGAAACAGTGAAACTGTCACAGATTTGAGGAGACTAAAGAGACATGATGACTAAATGCATTGTCACATCCTAGACTGGATCCTAGATCATAAAAAGGACAATAGTGGAAAATCTGAATACAGTGTGCAGCTCCTAATAGTGATGTCCCAATGTTACTTCCTTAGCTTTAATAAATGTACTATGATTATATAAGCTGTTGATATTAGGAGGAAAAAGTGAAGTTACCAGTTGCCACTGGCATTCTACTGTAAGCAATAGACTTCATTGACTTATATATTTATTGTTATGGACTTGTAAGTTTCTCTTTTTCTTCCCAGTGGTTTATAAGTGTACTCAAGTAGTTTGGTGCTCAAATCATCCCAGATTTG